CGGTTTTCAATGTCAATTTCCTGTATTAATATATAAAGGTACCTATTTGGTCACACGGACGGCTGTAGATGCGACCTGAAAACTCTGTACCTAGGGAGTGCCACCCCCATACGATACAAAAAAAAATCGCTGACATTTTGCTTTATTAATTATGGAAGACACAAATGCAATATTTTGTAAGAAACATATCAGATTGCCGTTTTCAGAAAACTTGGTTTCTATATCCAGGACACACAAGACAGAATCAAGATGATCAAGAGTTTTGTGAACAGTGAAATTGATTAAACTTTCCCTTACATGCTGTAAAGTTCACTTTTTTAAGTAATTCTGTTTTGATGAGTAGAAGTTTGGAATGAATCTCAGTAAGTGAAACTTTTCAGTTACGCAAGAAGTTGTGGAGGCCACCTGCGAAATAGGAAATTCGCAATGTTATACAAATCCATTCATTTTGTTTTATTTTATTCATCGTCCAGATATCATGTATAGCGTTGCGTAAACGACCTTTCTTTACAATTACTTATGTAGCGCACGTAGAAATTCTCCGCGTTTCTTGCTTTATTTTTATGGTAGGTTTTTATCCACAGCTGACACTTTTTATATAAATCGCAATATACGTGTAAATGACATTTTTCGATTAAGGAATCTGTGGGAAATTACTCCGAACTGACGTGTCAATACTAAGTTGGAAGACGCCGGATGGGATGAAAAAATCACGTTATGTACAGACTCGATTCGTCTATATAAAAGAATCATTTAAAGAGGGACAAATTGCAGGACGCTTATGTATTCAGTAATTAAATAAACAAACATTTGTCCTTTGTTACCTATGCGATTCATCTGGTATAAATCCCTCTTATGTTGTACAAGTAGTCTTATATGATCAGCACTACTTCTTCTGGAACAGGACTAATAATTGGATAAGTAGGTACATTAGTTGTAGAAGTCGTTTAAATTGATCGACAGATATCAAACTAAAATGAATCGTGGAAAATTTATGGGATGCCTACCCAATACTCCAGGCATATTTGAATACCATTCTAATAAATAAAAATTCGAATTTCATCATTCAGTTCAGAACTTGTTCGAAACTTAATCTTGAATATGAAATCCAATAAGGTATTTCAAGGTATACCTACATAGTATATATCTTATATGGGTAGATAGAAGTTGCTGTTAAAACTATTTGTGTGGATTACTTTTTCCAAAGGTTCTCTTTTACTTGAATCCGTTCGAACATGCTCAAGTTATATTGAAAAAACTTTGTTATCGTGCTCCCCCAAAGCGTCAACTTAGTAGCACAGTATAACGTTAAGTTTGGAACTCCCTAAATCTGCACCGTGTATAAACTTTGATGACTGGAACTTGCGCGAATGATTTTAAACTACTTTGATTTGTTGCCCAACTTTTGGGTATAGCTAGGCGAGATCCCGTTAGATGCTAGTAATTAGATTGTATACGATATGAAAGATTCTTTGGCCAAAGTCCGAACATAATTTGAATTTAATAACCGAATGGCTTAAACGGCAGTGTAATAGAAATGCCCACAGCGATTCAAGTTGCAGGAAAAAGTAACCAACCACGATACACTCCGTGTAACCAACTAATATTATTATGATTCTTTGATTGTACTTGATTCGTTCATTCGATTATGTAGCTTAGTGTAGATTTTAATTAATTTTAGCAAACGAAATGCATTATGGTCACTTCCTACGAAGTGGCTCGTGTTGTGTATGAATCAAAACTCGAGAACGACACTGTGTCGCTTGTCAGTCTGCCGGTCGGTAGAGCGTATCGATATCTGGTGATACAAATATTCGCTAAGTGTTCAGGCTCTCTTCAAGGGCAGATAAATTTTAAATTTCACTGTCATCTAAACCTATCAGACCAATTTCAATGCAATGAAAGAAAAATGCGTTTGCAAAAAGATGTAACAGGTTGTATAGCTGTAACTCAATTAAGTCAAAGTTTTTCGTTTAGCGCATAGGTATATCAAAAAATACACAACCCTTTTGTCAAATAATTTAAAATTTGTTATAATTTACTATCATAAAGAAAAAACTCCTGAAATTCCGCACCATTGCTCGAACTGATAACCACCTGCATTACTTATCTCGCACGCGACATTGTTTATCGCAAAACAATAACTCTTAACTAACACCTGACTAGCTAAACCTTTTATAAAATTACGATTAAACCTTCCGTTATTAATGCGTTTTAAATTTATCGTACAAACTAAGTACAAGAAATAGAATCATTGAGAACCGAATTCACGGATTATTTATCGTCTTCTCTTTTGTGTACCTTCAATCGGATACGTAGTATCCAACATACGGGATGGTGACTTGACGAACGCACCATAGGAATTTCAATAGTAATTTTTTAATTTCCGATTATTGGCTTGCCTAATTATTTTAGAAATAAAGTCTATTTAGGTTTTTTGTAGAGAAGAAAATTACGAATCCGTATATACTATTGTTTCCTATTTTATAACTTCAGAAACAGTAAAAATTAAAAAATTACAAACTGCCGCTTTTATAAAGTCGGTAATGCTATGGAATTATGAAATCAAACAAAAGCGCTTGCATTTGCCATTAGTTAGATTAGTTTCAAAGTTAAAAAGTGGGTCAAATCTTGACAAATAGCTTCCTAGCTGAGATAACCAAAAATTGCCAAACAAACGTACGCACGTAACATTACAGACGGAAAAAATAAGAAAGGTGCATTTTTTACGGCATGGCATTGTTTTGCTTTATTAGAGGGACCTACCATCCAAATTTCGTAAAATTGCTCCATAAATAAGAAAGTTGGATGTTGCACATCGCGAAAACATTATTTTGCGCATGCATTGTTAGCTTTTAATTAAAAGGACCTACCATTCTAAATTTCGTTAAAATTGTTCCATAAAATAAGAAAGTTGCATTTTCTGCGCATAGCGCAACACGATTTTGCGCATTGCATTTTGTTAGCTTTTATTAAAAGGACCTACCACTAAATTCGTTAAAAATTGTTCCCATAAAATAAGAAAGTCATTTCTGCGCATGCGCAACACGATTTTTGGCGCAGCATGTTGTTTGCTTTTATTAGAGGGACCTAATCCATCAAAATTTCGTTAAAAATTGCTTCCAATAATAAGAAAGTTTGGAATGTTGCACATGCGCAACACTAATTTTTGCGCATGCATTTTGTTAGCTTTTATTAAAGGACCTATACCACTAAATTTTTCGTTTAAAAATGTTTCCATAAATAAAAAGTTGCATCTTCTGCGCATGCCAATCACGATTTTTGCGCATGCAATTTTGTACTTTTATTAAAAGGACCTACATCTAAATTTGTTAAAAATGTGTTCCATAAATTAAGAAAGTTGCATTTCTGCGCATGCGCACACGAATTTTTGCGCTAATGCATTTGTTAGCTTTTATTAAAAGGAACTGAACCATCTAAATTCGTTAAAATTGTTCATAAAATAAGAAAGTTGCATTCGCGCAATGCCGCAACACGATTTTCCATGCAATTTTGTTTGCTTTTTTTATTAGAGGGACTACCCATACCAATTCGTTAAAAATTGCTCCATTAAATAAGAAAGTTGATGTTGCACATGCCCAACACTATTTTTTATGCGACATCAATTGTTGTTAGCTTTTTATTAAAAGGACCTACCATACTAAATTCGTTAAAATTGTTCAATAAATAAGAAAGTGCATTTCTTGGCGCATGCGCAAACACGATTTTTGCGCGCATGCATTTTTTTTAGCTTTATTAAAGACCTACCATCCTAAATTTGCGTTAAAATTGTTCCCAATAAATAAGAAGTTGCATTTCGCGCATGCGCAAAACACGAATTTTTGCGCTGCATTTGGTTTGCTTTATAGAGGGACGCTACCATCCAATTTGCTTAAAATGCTCCATAAATAAGAAAGTTGATGTTGCACATGCGCAAACACTAATTTTTTGCGCAATGCATTTTGTAGCTTTTATTAAAAGGAACCTACCATCTAAAATTTCGTTAAAATTGTTTCCATAGAATAAGAAAGTGCATTTCTGCGCATGCCAACACGATGTTTTGTCGCAATGCATTTTGTTAGCTTTTTAATTAATAAGGACCCTACCATCTAAATTTCGTTAAAATTGTTCCATAAAGTAAGAAAAAGTTGCATTTCCTGCGCATGCGCAACACGATTTTTGCGCATAGCATTGTTAGCTTTATTAAAAGGACCTACCATCTAAATTTCGTAAATTGTTCAATAAATAAGAAAAATTGCATTTCTCGCATGCGCAAACACGATTTTCGCAATGAATTTTGTTTGCTTTTATTAAAGGGACTTACCATAGAAATTTCGTTTAAATTGCTTCAGAAACAAGATCGTTGCGTTTTGCACATATGCAACACAATTTTTTGACTTTGACCATTTTTTTCTCCGTTTTTTGATAATATAACCCGGCCCAATTTTTTGTAGGTTGTACACAGGAAAATAAGGTCTTCCAAATAATAGAATAAAAATTTTAGGTTGCTATTTGAAAAAAAAGTTCGATGTCGTTACGGCGCTCCAAAATTTTTTTTCAAAAATCCGGCCCGTTATTTTTCTGTTCGGTATGCCTAAAACATATATACAAAATTTCAACAAAATCCGTCGAGCCGTTTTCTCAGAAAATTGCCAACAAACGTACGTACGTACGTATGTACGTACATACAGACGGAAAAAATTTTTATTCTTTAAAAGTTGCTTAAAATGGTCTAAAACGTCGACATTTGATGAAATTTTGAAATGTTCAAAAAACGGCTATCGCAATAGCTACCTAGCACATGCTAGGAAGCTAAAAATTCTTCATTAGGTCATCAAGTCAAATATTTGTACTTATTCGATTCTTGAAATTGAGTGTAACCTGTAGGTATCTATTTTTTCAGAAATTCCCCTTTACCTTATCGATATCGAAAATATTAAGTGTTCTAAATAATCTAAATCACCGGTGTTATCTTCTCTCGAGACGCTCATACCTGATACCTATATAAGTCCGGCCAAGCCGAACCGAGCGTTATTCAGCTGCAGTAATTAGCAACGTAAACATGAATGTATCAAAACTGTTCGTCTTTCTGGTGCTCATTATCGCCAGCCTTTTCGGACAGACGCAAGCAAAATGGAAAGGATGGAAAAGACTTGTAAGTATTTACTAAAAAAAAATGACAGCATTACTGTAAGATTATGTTTTCCAGGAAAACGTTGGGAAGAAGGTGTTCGACACGGGGGTGGTTGTTGTTGCAGTAGCGGCATCAGGAAGACGGGGTTGAGGGTGGTGTAGTTTACTATCAATGAATACCTTACTCTTATTACCTATGTAACTACTATATATCACAATATCAATAAATCTACTACATTTGACTAATTTTGAATAAAATAGTGTACCTATGATCATGTATGAAAGTTGCTTTATAATATAACCAAAGAGGGGTACTCTGTACAGAATTAAACCTTCGTTTTGTTAGAAAATTATGTCAAATTAGAACAAAATGCATGAGAATAAACAATATTTTCACAATAAAACTAGCACAAACCATTTTTTGCGATGTTTTCAAAACTATTGAAGATATTTTAAATATCTTTTCATATTATTATTCAGCACGAAAATTCGCAACATTGCCATCATTTAACCAATATATAGTTGGCACTCGAAAAATGGACACCGTGTATGCGCTTAAAGTAGGGGTGAAATCATCTCTTAAATGACGCAGTTATTAAGGATCTTTAGATCTTTCATAAAGAGCGATTACAAAAATTCCACGTCATAGTTGGTGGTCATAACGGATTTATAAAAGTTGGAATCAAAACACTTGTGCCACGCTACGCTATGATAAGTGCCTCAATTTGAATGGCGCTTGTGTTGATTAATAGCCCAAGAGTGTAGCCCCCAAATGTATATAATAATAGATTTTCTGTTAAAATTGTTTTATTTCAGAACGTCTGCTACTTTCTGGACAACCCTCGTAATACACTATTACATCAATGATTTTTATTGGATATATGATTTAGCTGCGCACCCTAGTGATAGTCTTTAATTTTATTGTGGACAGGTACAATTTACACAACCAACAATAAGAAGCATCGTTGAATGTATGCAATTTCCAAAGTTTTTAATTATGATGACTGCAATTGCATGACAAAAAATTCTTTCACACGCTCCGCTTTGAATCGCTGATAACTGATATATGTATCGTGCAATTACACTACAATTAAAGTGTAACCTATTAACACAGACAATCTTCTCAATTTGTGAACAATGTAATTGTGCTACCCTAAGCAAAACTTAAACGGGCAAATCCCGAGGCAAATCCACACATTGTAAGATGTGTACGCCACAAATAGTAGAAAAGTTTAAATAGTCATTTACTATTAAAGCATGACACATCGAAGAATGCCTATTTTTTATGTTGTGGTCAGTGTAAATGTGCCACGAATTGTAAGGCCGTTTTAAAGCATAATCGACGTAAGGGAATGTCGGCGATTTGGTGTACAGTTGTACGAGAGAAATTGAGTGATAAATAGTGATCTTTATTGGTAATTAGAAAATTGCAATAAAAAATGTCGCATTTCTACCCAGCTTATCCCACTTACCACAGTCGCTCTTAAATGAAATTGTTTACTAATACAAAATGTACATATATTTGTATTTTCTTTTAAAACTTAGGAAATGGGAAACTACTTCATTTAAGAAATCGCATCGGCATTGTAAAACTAATTACGGAATGTAGTTTTTATCGAGGTTTTTATTTATTTTAACAGATAAGTAATTAAGACAATTCAATGGGGTTATTCAATGACATTTGTGAAACTCCCACCAGTGAAATTTCGCGAATTTTTTTCGTATTAACCGGAACATTCTTCTTAATTTGTTAATCAATTTTGACAACCGACTTATCACATCTTTTAATTTGATCACTCATAACGAATTAGCTTATTGGAGCACAAAAGTTCGAATAGAATCATAGCAGAATGAAAAACTACTTCCGTAATTTATTTTCTCATGTCTTCGGGTTTATCACGTATAAATATAAATTCGCGTGGGTAATTATGCTTAAAGTTTCTTTTGATTCATTGAATAGTCCTTCCGAGAGTCCTTCGAATACCATTTGTAGTCGAAATATTTCTCAATTATTTTTGAGGTGCTGTTCCACTCATGCTAGTTACATTTTTTAATACAACTCGCGCAAGCGCTCGTGGTATTAATCAGCGTAACTAGCATTCGTTACAGCACCTCAAAAATTATGGACAATACTTCGACTACTCATGGTATTATATATGAAAATTGTGGTAGTAGTGTACCTATACTTCATTCATTATAAGAAGGTAGTAGATGGCGCTGTGGTTGAAGATATGCACACACAGGAAAAATATTGAAGGGCGCCAAATTTAAAAAAGGAACTAGATTAATTTGAACTACATTATGTCAAATTGTAAAATGTGACTTTTTGATTAATTAGAATACTGTAAAGGTACAACGTGGTGCGCGCGTATCGCAACAGAATTTGTAGCGCATTTTTGCAAATTTATCTGTAAAAATGTAGAATCTCATTTCACTATGGCTGGCTGACTGGTGGGTTGCCAGCAATTTAGGGCCGGTTGAAGAACGCTCGTAGAAAGACGAGGAGTGTACGTGTTTCTACCGGGCTGTGTAATTAGCAACTTTAGGGTCAAGGACGGGACTAGATGATGTGGGGTCGGTGACATCCAGGCGCAATCTCCGAGCTTGGTTTGGTGATTTTTCAGTTTTCTTCTTCTACAGTTTTGGTCCAATTGTTTTCAAACTGGTGTCGTGGGAAAGATGTAAACGCGCTAAACTCCTGTTTAGCGGCCGGAGTTTAGCGGCCGACGCTGTTGCGTTTTATGGAATATGTTTACAATATGTACAAAATTCTGCAATGACAATTTTCCATAATGTTGTTCTTTTAAAGTTTGGCAGAGAATCATCATCATTGACCACATTTAAAACTTTTTGCAATGTTGGAAGTTCATTTTTAAAAAAGAATCTATGGACATGTCTTCGTATAGCTGCTCTTTCAAAGTCTTCGAGGTGGTCATATTTTGTTGTGCAAAGCCGCTTTTTCCTAGGCGAACGTGCAGTGCCACAGCTTTTGACTTCCTTAACAATATTCCACATCATCCTTGGGCCAATACCAATCTCCTTGGAAGTTTGCTTCACAGCTGCAGTTTTACTCATATTTTCAACGCTTGCATTCTTTTTGAAAATGTTATATGCCATAAGTTTTTGGCCACTTCGAATTGGTTTTCCCTTCCTATTTTTGTATTCTTTAGGCTGATCGCCCATAATCACACGGTTAGGTAACTGAAAGTCGGTGCTTTTAAAAATTAAAGAAATTATACCTAATATTCCAGTGTAATCAATAGAAAATGATAAGAACTGGTAATACGCTCAAAAAAGAAGAAATATCCAGCACTGTAAACAGCTAATGACAGTTCGAGACAGTTCGATAGTTAGTTAGCCACAGCAACTACCAACTTATATAACAAAATGCACTCGTTTTATTTTTGTGCATAAAACTGGCTCGTGTTTTAACCAATCACAGTGAAGGTCAAAGCTTCCCCATACTTTCTACCGCTACCTTCTTATAATGAATGAAGTTTTTTTATAGTAGAAAAATCATGTACAAGACAAGAAATAAATATATGGACCAAGGCGCATCGCCTATACAGGGTAATCACAATTTAGTTAGCACATTTAAAAATGTTAGATTCTTTTATGTATGTTTTAAAAGGTGGTGTTTAAGATAGGCTTTAGTTTTTGTTGCAAAATCACAATAAACACATTTAAAATCCTTAGAAACTTTATGTGTTATTAAAATATGTTGTTTAAAATTACTTTTATCATTGGTCCCATAATCACAATCAGCACATTTAAAATCCTTAGAAATTTTATGTTTTAAAAGATGTCGTTTCAAGGCGTGTTTATTATTTGTCTCATAATCACAAGTAGCACATTTAAAATCCTTAAAAACATTATGTTTTAAAAGGTGTTGTTTAAAGTGGGGTTTATAATTTGTCTCATAGTCGCAATTAGCACATTTAAAATCTTTGGAAATTTTATGTGTTAAAGAGTGTCGTTTTAAGTAGGTTTTATTATTTGTCTTGTAATCGCAATTAGTACATTCATATTCTTTAGACACTGTGTGAGTTAAACTGTGACTTTTAAGATACTCTTTATTGTAGGTCTTATAATCACAATTAGAACATTTAAAATCCTTAGAAACATTATGTGTTAAAAGATGTCGTTTGAAGACATGTTTATCATTTGTCCCATAATCACAAGTAACACATTTAAAATCCTTTAAAACTTTATGTTTTAAAAGGTGTTGTTTAAAGTGGGGTTTATAATTTGTCTCGTAGTCACAATTAGCACACTTAAATTCTCTGCAAATGTTATGTATTAAAGAGTGTCGTTTTAAATAGGTTTTATTATTTGTCTTGTAATGGCAATTAGAACATTCATAATCTTTAGACACCGTGTGAGTTAAAATGTGATTTTTAAGATAGTCTTTGTTGTAGGTCCTATAATCACAATTAACACATTTAAAATCCTTAGAAACATTATGTTTTAAAAGATGTCGTTTGAAGTTATGTTTATCATTTGTTCCATAATTACAATCAGCACATTTAAAATCCTTCGAAGCTTTATGTTTCAAAAGATGTTGTTTGAAGTTGCGTTTATCATTTGTCCCATAATCACAATCGACACATTTAAAATCCTTGGAAACTTTATGAGTTAAAAGATGTCGTTTGAAGATGTGTTTATGATTGGTCCCATAATGACAATTGCCACATTTAAAATCCTTAGAAACTTTATGTTTCAGAAGATGTTGTTTGAAGTTGCGTTTATCATTTGTCTCATAATCGCAATCACCACATTTTAAATCCTTAGAAGCTTTATGTTTTAGAACATGTTGTTTGAAGTTGCGCTTAACATTTGTGCCATAATCACAATCAGCACATTTAAAATCTTTAGACACTGTTCTACACTGATTTAAAAGGTGACACTGAAAGTCAGAATGTTGCTGCACTTCATTATAAAGAGGTTTAGAACAAGCTGATGTACTGTTAACTTCGTCCTTTATAGTCAACAATACTTCGTTACTTACTGAAATGTGTCCCTGAAGAAAGGAATGGATTTCTTCTTCTTGTTTTGGTTCGATTTTAATTAGTGGTGTGTCATTACCTCCATCCATTCCTAACAACAATAATGTTATAATTAAATGTGTTAAGCATGTATGTATTTTGATATTAAACAATACCTACAGATGAAGATTTTATGGCATCCAGACATTACTTACTTTCTTTTTCTTAGTACTTCATCTAATTCCTCGAATGGTAATTCAGCACGGTATAAGAATATTTATACCGTGTAATTCAGTAATCAAACAAAATCTAATGCTCATTGCTCAGTGGAACTTGTATGTACTTGTAAATATAACAACTATTTTGAGGTTCTCTTAAGTTGCGGTTCTTCAGCGTTGCCACGTTTAAGTTGGCATCACAGAGATTTCTTACTCTGAGGTTGGCATACAACAAAAGAGAGATAGTGAATCATCCGACTCAATCAGCCATGGAATTATTGCCATGCTTCAAACATTTAAAGGATTAATACGAGACCGCGAGGTGCCTGCCACAGAATATTCTTAAATGACTGATAATAAAGCATCATTTGAAAATAATATACTAACCTTGGGCATAGCTTAGGCATAATTTTCACATCTCATTTTGACGCACCTTGTATAACTGTTGCAGTGTGTAACAGTTGGTACAACGATAATATAAAAATAAAATTCTTAACCAAAAAAGTTAAATGACAATGACAATTTGCACCCTTTTTTTTGTAGATAAATAATGATTTATTTAGCGTAACCAAGACAAGCATAAACAAATAATCCATGGTTTTACGGGAAACGTGCAATTTATTAATTTTTTTAATGTTTTGTATTAGTTGGCATTTCAACTGCCCCACTGCCAATATGCCACTATCGCTGATAACTCCGACATAGGAATAATCGCAAAATTAATTTAAAAATGAATGCCTTACTCTGTTATAAATTCTTATATTTACAATAAATGCCTAGCTTGTAGCGAGTGATCAAATGTTAATACGTTATGGGTATATGCTGGTGCAAAGAGAAGCATGAAGAAAGTGAAACCTATTTTCCACAATCAAGCAATGACAATATTGATAATGCAATACAATCGGTTACGCCATACTCTGCGGCTGAATATTACATGGAAAATACGGAAAAAGGCTGTCCTGATTCTAGCGTTGTAGATAAACTCGTTATAGAAACTTTAGGTATTATCGGTACGCTTGTAGATAAGTATGTCGACTTCATACTTTTCGTAGGGTTAATGTCACGATCGTTTTAGCGAACAGGAGCCTCCTGCATCGATGCTACGTTTACATAATATAGCAGACAACGAAGAGGGATGGATTCAAGTTGTGAAATCTATGGTAAATGTAATACCTATGCTCGACCCTTTGGGTCCGTCGGTAATAACACTCCTACTTGACGACTGCCCGCTGCCGTCCAGAGAATCGGTCCTGCATGTTGCTTCAATGTTCAATTTATCGGCACAGAGCGCTATAGCGGATAGGGCAAACGCTCCGAAGCAAAGAAATATCAGCGTAGTGTTGGGTTGTATAGCTGAAAAATTGGCCGGACCTAGTAGTTTAGGAATTTTAACCAACTCCACTTTAGACTATCTGATAACAAATCTGGTAAGTATTAATAAATGGGGGGAAAAAATGTGTTAAGGCCGCTTGTAGGACATGGACGCCGATCCCCACGTGATTTTATTTTCGTTAATTGCTCTCGAGAAATTCGCCCAAACTAGCGAAAACAAAGCGACAATCATTCGACGGCTGCAGGATGAGATTTGTTGTCCGATTTCGAAATTAGAGCCGTGGATTAATGAGGAACATTTTGTTAGGAGGCAGGTCGGTTTTTGTGCTCAGTGGGCATTGGATAATCTGTGTAAGTTTCAAATTGAATTGCACAATATTATATAGGGCTCTTTTATGTAAGGCATGTCCCAAAGGCAGTTGGTCAGTAAAATTGCATTGGGTTTTAGGTACAGACTAATAAACACCGTGACACAGTTCTCTCAGATTTTTTAAGTGGATGGGTAGTTGGTACTGGGAATTTTTGTACAAGACAATAGTTACTGCCTCATAAGATTACACAATTATGTCTCATAGTGACCACGAGCCCGAGCCTGTAACAGATTTTCCTCTGTTGCAATTGCTAATTGGTAGCACAGAAATAGGAAAACATCCCTTGCAACATCTAAAAATAACTCACTTCCGCTCGCTTTCTTCCATTATGCGCCACTTTTATGTTACAATTTACTTCTGAAGACATTTTCCCACCAGTCACAGCAATGCACAATTCAGATTTGTGATTTTCAAATTCAAAAACCCCCAAATACCAAATTTTCTTGAAATAAGAATTTTGTTTCGCACTCCCATTTAGGGATGCACCCTTTCATGGTAGGAAAAAATTTGAGCAAAATCGGAAAGGACATACCCCAAAACCTATTCACAACAGTCTTTCTTATGGTTGCTGAGAAAAAAATTAAAGAAGAAATGCAAATTCCACACTTTTTTCAGGGTGACACCCAAACGAAACATGTTGTACCCTCAGTTTGTTTGGAAAAAGTGCTTGTTATGATTCACTTTACCATTTTTGAAAACTCTTTGAAAATATCGCTGAAAAACTGAAAATGCCAACTTTGGTTTTCATTTTCCCTAGCTTAAACGGCCGGAAATGGGCGGTTCCCGTTAACACCTTTTATGGGTGCTTTTTTTTCGGAGAATCTCAATCTGTTATCAGAATTTCCATAGCACGCTAGATGTAGAAACTACAGGCTACCACTTGCCTATTTCTTATGGGCGCCACATAGGATTTTTACGGAATGAGATAGAGGACAAAAATCGTACATTATATACCGAGGGACTAAAATGTGTGTTTTAATCCCGAGGGTTCAGATTATTGCCCAAAATGAAGGATTAGGGCGCACTTTAGTCATGTGGTATATATATATATATATATATGCTATTTTTTTGTACTCCTGTAATCGGTTACAGCAATTTCAATGTTCAAATCCAAATTTGAAAGAAAAAAATTTGATGGTAATAATAATAATAATATATATTTAAGTATATTGGAAAATCAATATACCTTGTCATGTCAAGTAGTGACCGTATAATAATAAATGTCAGTTTATGCGAGGTTTAATGTATTTGGTTTAATTTAAAGATTCTCGTTCAAAACTATTGGACAGAAATGATCACTTAAAACTTTACAGAACAAGCTATGAGGAAACTGCTGCCTCACAAATTAAAAAAGATATATGGAAAATGTATCAAATGTGGCTCAAGAACCAAAATGTGCATATGAAGGACATTTCAGTGTGTCACTTTTTGTCCCGCGTCACCTTTTTCTCCCTCCGGGAGTGACACTTTAGTTCCTTAAATGAATGACAAAACAGGTTGATTTAGTCCACGCAGTACAAAAAAGAAATTCATTTTAATGCATCGCCACCATACTCACGTTGATTCAGCAAGATCTACTTACCTGTGGGTATTTTGTTGAGAAGTGAATGTAAAACATTTGATTTTGAAATTTTTCATGTAAATTTATGGGAAGGTATGACGTGGACACATCTTTATTTTTTTCGCCCTATATCTCATTCCGTAAAAATCCAATATGGCGTCCATAAGAAATAAGAAAGTAGTACCCTAAGAAACATATATATAAGAGATGCTAAGAAATAAAGATAGAGGACGCATACGCTGTAATAATACGAACGTATGTTTTGATCCAACATAACCACAAAGTTTGACAGATGAGAGGACGACAAGTAAACATTCGTAACTGCACTAATTCCACAAAAAGTACACCCTTTCCCCATTTCAAGGAGTTCAAATTATTACACCCAATCGAATCAATGAGCCAAAAATGCAGAAATCACGTTTTGTAGAAATAAACAAAAATCCTCTCAACCGTCAAAAACGCTACAGCGTTGCCGTCGTGACACTAATAATGATAAATTTTCTTATTAAGCTGTTTAATTTCAACATATAATTGTTTAGTTTTAACAAATCGTTTAAGAATTTTAAAATCCGTTTAGATCCTTCCAAATATATTATGTAAGTACCTACTATTAATATTCCCCTCAAAATCATCTCGGGAAATGTGACAAGTTCGCTTCCTGTAATGTTTATAAAAATAACGAGATGATGCCATGTTTAGATATCAGCATCAAGGCATCTCTATCTTTATTTCTTATTTTGGGATAGTACCTACATCTAGTTTGTTATGGCAATTTTAATAACAGATTCAGATTCTCTGAAAAAAGTGCCCATAAAGGGTGTTAACGGGAACCGTCTATTTCCGACCATAACGTGAAAACGAAGTTTGATATTTTCAGTTTTTCGGTGATATCTCGGTTATTTTCAAAAGGTTCTTCAAAAATTTAAAATGCGTTTTTCTAGTCACAAAAAGGGGTAACTTTGCCTCCATTGAAGCCACGAATTTGAACCCCCCTGTACATACAACTACGATTATACAACTAACTACATACAGGAGATAATGGTGGTGTCAACATTACATGCAATGAGATCAGTATGTACTTACATTTACAACCGTTACAGGTTGACTTATTTATTGCCTGGTTGTGACTCGTGGATCATAATAATAAGCCTACTGTTTACTGCGAGTCTTGCACTCATATACACATTACAAGTTGTTAGAAAGGATGGCAATTAGCGACATATTAGCTGCCGAAAACGTACGTTTCGCTCGTAGATCATAGATATAGCGTTCAGCCATTAAATCAGTGGCAACATATGTGAGAGAGATAGCTATACATGAGTAGAATACCGAGCATGCGCACTGAGTTGTATGTCAAATTTAAGCTGAATTTATAGTTCCGTATCCGCAACACCGTACCGTAACGTTTGGAATTAAACCCTACTTGTTGCGCGTGAACATTTATAATTCGCGTTAACGTTGCGTTAGAACGGTTACGGTACGTAGGAAATGCCCAAATCTTATTTCTTACGGTCAATCGTGCTAACGCGCTTGTCTTCGGTAGTACTCGGATAATTCAAACAGTTGAGTTTATCCTGACGTTCGTTTCGTTTATTTACAATAATTATTGACACTTGTTGGTTATTATTATTTTGAAATGCACGTTACTCTTACTGACAGATGATATACAATGGCAGAATTCGTTTCGCACTAATGCGCAAGCTCATCTCTTACCACTACGGGAACTATAAATCGTATAATTTTCGGTAACGTAAGATTTTACGGTTCCGTTCTTACGGCTACGGAACTATAAATCCGGCTTTACATTCCCAACATTTCATTGGCGTGTCAGTTCCGTAGAACATAAAGGGGTTTATAGTGTTATTACAGTAGAAAATGCGAGTAGTTTTTACGAAAGTAATAATTAAAATGGTGCGTTTAATTTGTGGGGCACTTAGTAGTACAGAAAGTGGAATTTCATTCTATGAGTAAAGCCGGATTTATAGTTCCGTAGCCGTAAGAACGTAAGAACGGAACCGTAAAATCTTACGTTAACGAAAATTATACGAATTATAGTTACCGTAGTGGTAAGAGATGAGCTTGCGCATTAGTGCGAAACGAATTCTGCCATTGTATGTCATCTGTCAGTAAGAGTAACGTGTATTTCAAAATAATAATAACCAACAAAGTGTCAATAATTATTATAAATAAACGAAACGAACGTCAGGATAAACTCAACTGTTTGAATTATCAGAGTACTGCCGAAGACGAGCGCGTTAGCACGATTTACCGTAAGAAAAGTTACAAAATATGTGCCTTGAAACTCATTATGAAGTGGCCCATTTTTGCGACGCCTATGGTTATCAGCTGTTTACATTCGGATGCTACTGCGCATGTGCGGTGTTCTACTACGGTGCAAAAATATATCTCTGTCTTTTTGTTAGGTATGTTGGCACAGATGCTCCTTATTGAAAGTAAATGGAAGGCCATATCTATGTATACAGTGATGTTTATTAAGAAGTAGACATAGGGATTTATGTGTATTGTTTTTCTTCAGGTCTACTTTTAATAGGCAAAATCTCTTCTGAAGAGCGCCTAATTTTATGCAACCAAAATAACTTCTTAAAACAAATAAAGATCTGGCTGTCAAATGAACTAATTTCAATATTGTTGCTTTGGTTTTACAAAAAATTAATCTCTTTTACGCTCCTTATGGCCGTTTGCACCGACAAATTTAAGCGGAGCTTACCTTAAGCGTGGCTCAAAATCCATGGTAACCATTGTCGCAATAATCGTTGCCATAGATATTAAGTTACGCTTAAGCTAAGCACCACTCAAATTTGTCCGTGCAAACGGCCATTAAACTGTTACTGGCACTAGACCAATTGATAATATCAACTGTTTAGCGCATTTTTGCAAATTTATTTGTAAAAGGTAGCTTTTAATCTCACTTTGGCTGGCTGGCTGGCTGGCTGGCTGGCTGCAAATGTGGGCGCGTAGAAGAACTCTTGTAGAAAGGCAACGGGTGTACGTTTATCTACAGGGCCGTGAAATTTGTCAACCTTAGGGACATGGCTACATGATGTGGGGTTGGCGACATCTGGGCGTCATCCTCGAGCGTAGTATACTAACGTGAAGTTTTTCAGTTTTTTCCTATCTTCTACTACAGTTTTGGTCCGATTCTTTTGAAATTGGTGTCGTCGGAAAGATGTTGTAAACGCGCACAACTCCTGCGTGGCGGAATTTTGTTTTTTGTCCTAGGGGCGAAATTAACGACCTTTTGCGAGGCGCGCGCGCGTCTTCGAGAAGTACTCAACTTCGGGCGCCTTTTACCTTCCGTTGCGAACTCACGCGGTTTAACGTTTCGTAAATCTCGAATCCCTGTCTCTCTTTCTCGTGTCGCCAATAGAAGCGAATTGCGGGTGAACGGGACGTCGGAAGTGGCTACCGTCAAAGGGAATGTGGTAGCCCCCGACCCGATTTTAACTTTAAAAGCGAATTGCGGGTGCACGCGGAAAGTGGGAAACGGTTAGTGAACGTAGTAGCCTTCGACAAGATCTGTTATTGATGGTTGAGTCGAAAGTGGCTAATAGAATACTGATCTGCCACACAAAAATGCGCTGAAGTCCCTTCGATCTCACACGAGGACTTTGATAATTTTTAGCGCATTTTTGCAAAAATTTTTTTGTAAAAAGTAGCTTTTAATCTCACTTTGGCTGGCTGGCTGGCTGGCAGTAAATGCGCGCCCGTAGAAAAACGCTTGTAAAAAGACAAGGAGTGTACATGTAACTATCGGGGCCGTGTAATTAAGAACGTTAGGGATGGGGCTACAAGATTTGGAGTCGACGACATCTTGGACGCCATCCCCGAGCGTATTATACTAACCTGGAGATTTTTCAGTTTTTATCTATCTTCTTCTACAGTTTTTCTCTGATTGTTTTCAAATTGGTGTCGTCGGTAAGATCTTGTCAACGCGCACAACTCCTGCGTGGCCGAATTTTGTTTTTTTTTCCTAGGGGCGAAATAAACCGCCGAAAAGTTTCTTACAGCGCGAATCGCGGTCTCTCTTTCTCGTGTCACTAATAGAAGGTCGAGCTATGTGAAGTACCCAAAAGTTGAATACGATTTTATGCCGGGATTTTAGCGAAACCAAAATGTGAATTACGAATGAACGGGACGTCGGAACTGTGTATCGACAAAGGGAATGTGGTAACCCCCGACGAGATCTTACTGATGGTGCGGAGTCGAAACTTCAAATCCGAATTGTTGCGGGTGATCAGAAGTGGGTGTCGACAAAGGGAATATGGTAACCCCCAAAGGATTTTACTGATGGTGGAGTCAAAACTTCAAACGCGAATTGCGAGTGCACGGTAAGTGACAAAATGGTACCGACAAAGTGAACGTGGTAGCTTTCGGCAAGATCTTATTGATGGTGGAGTCAATATTGGCTAATAAAACACTGATCTGCCACACAAAAATGCGCTGAAGTCCCTTCGATCTCACACGAGGACTTTGATAATTTTTTTTCTTTAGTTGAATACATCGCACACGAACGAGAATAAAAATGCGGAAACCAAAGCGACAATATTCAAATTAATTAATATGACAGCCAGATCTTTATTTGTTTTAAGAAGTTATTTTGGTTGCATGAAATTAGGCGCACTACAGAAGAAATGTATCATTTAAAAGTAGACATAAGGAGAAATAATACACGTAAATCCCTATGTCTACTTCTTAATAAATATCACTGTACATGGTCTAAGGCCTAGCTTTAGCTTTTTGTCTGTCAGAACTTGACAATTAAAATAGGTAAAGGTAGAGACCAATGAAATAAAAGACTAATGCCCGTTTGCACCGACAAATTTAAGCAGAGCTTAGCTTAAACGTAGCTTAAAATCCATGGCAACCACTGTCTCAATTCTAATTTTGCAACCAATTTTCTTTGAATCAAATTTTTCTTTATTTCAACAGAACATAATTGTTTCAGTTATAATGAAGAATCGAAAATTTTCATATCTAACGGTAAATAATTCGCACTTGAACGCAATGCTGAACACTAGCGACGTAAGTGAATATCTCAAAATTTCCCCAAATGGTCTGGAAGCTCGATGTGACGCCTACTCATTCGAAAGTGTAAGATGCACGGCCCAGGCTGATTCAGGTGTCTGGTATTACGAAGTATGCATTATCACTCCAGGTGTTATGCAGATCGGTTGGGCCACTAAGGAGAGCAATTTCTTGAATCATGTTAGTATTTCCCTTTCAAAGTTTGTTTCTCGTTAATACCTCACTTGCAGGATGGGTATGGAATTGGGGACGATAAATATTCGTTAGCTTATGACGGATGCAGAAAGCTGATCTGGTACAACGCCAAATCGGAACCGCAGCAGTTGCCTCGATGGCAACCTGGTGATACGCTTGGTTGCCTTCTTGACATGGATAACCAGCAAATAATTTTTTCGGTGAATGGAAAAGAAATACCGCCTTGCACTCACGTTTTTAGCATGGCCAAGTAAAGTTTTAATCACCCAATTGGTATCGTGCATAAAATTATACTTTGATTGCAGATCCGGATTCTTTGCAGCCGCAAGCTTCATGTCATTCCAACAGTGCCATTTTAACTTTGGTACCGAACCATTTAAATTTCCACCGAACTTGGAGTTTTCAAACTTTAATGATTGTGGTGTATTGGAGCCTGAAAGTAAGAAGGTAATGCCACGTCACATTTATCTGGACCAACTAAGACAGCAGAGCGTTAGAGAGGATAGTTGCACCTTGTGCTACGACAAAAAGGCCTCTGTGCGGCTTATTCCCTGTGAACACGAGTAAGTGGTATATTACCGTTTTTAATTCTCCACTCTACTTCTTTTGCTTCTCATTTAAAATGTACCTTGCCAATGCCTACTTAGAGTGCTTTATAACATGCGAAGTGAATTTCAGAATAAGTGACATAATCACTAGGCCCTTGAAGTTCTTGAGATGGATATTCTTGAATTTCTTGAAATGTTTGAGAATCTTTGTATTTATTACATTATTAAAATTTGTTTAAATTCTTTAAATATTTAACATCCTCATAGTTTTTAAGATATTTTAGGTTGTTAGGATTTTTGAGATGCTTGGAATCTTTCAGTCATAAAATTTTTGAGAACTTTGAGATAAAATTTTTAAGGTTCTTGTTTTTGAGATTCTGGAAATTCATAAAATTCTAGATAATACTAATTGAAAATTCTAAACCCAGTTAAAATAAGAGCTTTGCTCTACACCAATGGCATTGTACCTATAACAGACAATGCCATAAAATGTAAAAACTAAAAGATATCTAGAGAAATGAAATTTAAAAAAATGTTCATATCATGCGAATAAAGGGAAAGAACAAAGAAAACTAAAGCAAAGGAAGAAAAGGAAGAAAAGTAGAAATGAAAAAGCTCGACGCTCAAGGAAAAACTACAACACAAGAGTACTTTCCCCAGTTTTATTTGATTGCATCAGTTATTATCCCCATCCGAGACATTAATCTAATTTCAACCGTTTTTCAGAGGATTTTGCACGTCTTGCGTTAGTCAACTGACCGAATGTCCCATGTGCAGATCAGCAATACATCTTGTTGTAGACGATAATACGTAACATCGATTGTTATTTCTCTATAACGTTTTTTTGCCGCCAATGTTAAATAATTTTCTATAGACTGTATTGTTGTTGGCATAGCAGTTTAAAATATTTACTATTGCATTTATTTGTTTAAAGTTGTATCTGTGTATATCATATGTAAATTAACAACTATCTCTGTCCCACATTGAAAATTTAGAAGAGAATTCGGTCAAAAATATGGGCGTTACGTTTTTTGTATATACCTTTTATTAAATTTTGAAACTTATGGATTAAGGGCTACAAAAAGTTGATATTTTATATTAAAGCAGAAAGAAATATATCAGTCTTTTAAAGACTCTAAATATACGAAAATTCACTATTTGTCTTTATGGAATGCCAAACTATTGTAACGCTTTTAATGTGTATTTATACTATTCAGATTTTCTATAAAGAGTATTAATTATTTTATTGTAAATGAGCCTAAGATGTATATGTATATTAAAATGTATGTATGTTTAGTTATTGTAAATTACCTTATAAGCGCTGTAAAATATATTTTTTAAATTGGTTTGTTGTCATTAATAAAGATTTGTTTATTATTTTGTGTTTATAAATGGTAATTCATCTTGGTCGACTATAGGTTTGAGCAGAAAGTCTGTGTAGGTATAGAGATCTGGAGCATCACTATTCCCAAATTTTTATCATTGTTCTAGAGCAACAATTTTTAGTTCTTTGCAATCGATACCAAAATGTTGAACCTTTTTTTGGGAGAATTTTGTTGTTCCCCAAATGATACCAAGATTTTCCGATAGAAGAACGTTTAAAGAGTTGGTAGCCCAAAGCTATGCATCTAATGTGCCAGACCTGCTAAAAATAGAGTAGCCCAACACAAGCACCATTGCGATATGGAAGAATATGTGTAGAAAAGAATGAACAGATGAAGGAAACCTTCCATTTGTCTCTCAGCTTCTGAAAAGGACGAAACCTTTTTTTTTCAAAGTTCCAGCTTGGCGGGGCGCCATAACCCCCTATACTCCAAACAGATCTGGGAAGTATTTGAAGTTTTTAAATATTATTTTCATAATTAAGGATGGATTGGATGCAGACTCTCATATTTATTGAATTATTATTAGGAAAAAAGAAAAAATTGTGGATTTTTTACTCAACACAAGATACAGTATTAGAGCTATACATACAGGGTGTTTCGAAATTCACGCACACGGACTGTGGGATGGTGTTATACAACGAAAACTTAATAAAAAGTTCCTCAGTGTTTGATCAGAACGGCACTTTTTTTTTCGACGTGCTGAAGCTTGTTTACTAGCAGACGGCGGACATTTTGAACAACTGTTGTACTCGTCCTAATTATAGTTTATTTTGAACCTTTTTTTGTTCTTAAAAATGTGCTGTTATTAAGTTTAACCAGTGGCGCAGCGTAGGGGGGGTGGAGATTTTTGAAACCGCAGTAGCTCGAAAAATAGCGGTCTAATAGAAAATTGGTAGAGGAACTTTTTGTTCAGTTTTTGTCGTATAACACCATCCCATAGTCCGTGTGCGCGAATTTCGGAACACTCTGTATATCAATAAATTCTAACGTGATCCAAAGAAGTCAAGGGAGTCTGAATAGAAGGACTGGAATCTGCATAAATTTGAAATTTCATATTCCCCTAAACTACCACGTTTATAATTTTCTATTTAGTTTATAAAAAACTATGTATACTAACCTAAAGAAATACCCCAATTTGGATTTCAAGCTCACGACAATTACAAAATTAGGTTGAGGCTCCAGACAACATGAAACTTCCGGTTGTACTTGATGGGAATTTCTGGAACTGTCTAATGAGCTATATAGTGTTTCCTTCAATTTCTTGGACAAGATAATCGGCATCAAAAAATAAAGGAGTCAAACTGGCCTGTAACGCGGATATTTAGAAGAGCTTTATACTCCGTTGGGTCTTCGATTTTCAACTCATTTATGTCCTCAGGGAACACGGATGATGCGCACGGTTCCGGGTACACTGGTCATATTCTCCCTGGTTCCAATGAACTGCCTTGGTGTAAACGTTAATTCACCAGGCTGGACAGGTCAGCTAATGGAATTCAGTCACTGGAGTCTAGCCTACTTAATTAATGGAGTTATTGGCCTACTTACTGGCCTCGTGTAAACGCGGCATTACTGTCTCGTAGAAACGCGGCGTTATGGTGAACGCTGAGCCCATACCTAGAACAAGTACCTACGGGGTGCGCCTGCCAATATTAAAAACCGAAGAAATTCATTTTTGAATCAAAGAGGAACGGTTTTAGAGTGATTCACAAAAGTGAACGTCCTTATATGCTATATCGATGCTTGATGCTTCATAGTCCTCTGTTCGTTGGTCCATGCTACTGCTAGTATCTACTATAGCAACTTATTCACTTCGAAAGGCGACACACCTCACAACTCTAAAAAACCGCAGTATGGAAATACATACGAAACGCTCTGTATATACAGCAACCGTTCTGAACAACTGCTGGGAAACAGAGATTCTTTACGACGAAGTTTCACAGAAAGTTGGCGTCGGTAACGGGATTACGTTAGGGGATCTCAATTAATGGCGTCCCAGGTTTTTCACAATGTTATTTTGTTTGTTCTGTTTGAAAATTACAGTATGATATTGTCTGTATGATTCGATTACGAAGTTATTTCCCTGAAGGAAGAGCCCCATACAGTTCCGATTCTTCGCTGTATATGTTCCTTCCTTATCTCGTACCCGCTGCCGTATGGTGGTGGTGGATATCCAAGCCTTCACTTGAGATTCTAGGTTCACAGAGCCTTACAAATTTACATGAATGACTAAAAATATAAATTAAACTTCGAGAAGACCATATAATCAAACCATAACCATAAATTAAGCAAATATTTGCACCAAAAATGAAATCGATTTCAAACAATAAAATTTTTCATACACGTTATCAAACAAAAAAAACAAAACCACACAATGCTCTCTCGACGAAAGCACAAACCAAGATGGCTGTGACGTAAGAAGTGTTCGTGCTCTCGAGACGGCGCTGACAGCTTTCTCCTTCTTCTAAACAGTTGCGCGGTTGCCACGTCTCAAAAAAGTGCATCGTCGTAGTCTATATATATAGTACAGGGCGGACCTCTCAAGTTCTTGATTTCAAGGCACTCTGATGGAAAACAATAACTTGCGGGTGTTGTGTAGGTACGTCTTTTATCCGATAGGTAGAGATCCAAATACTGTCGGTTATTATGTCCGAGTCTACCACCTCATTCCTGCTTTTTAATTATTACAAATGTCCAGTTGGTTCCGAGCCCTCTTAATTAAAATAAAATGTATTAGTTTAGTTCTTTTTCGAGTATCGTGTTATCACAGAACGACTTCTGTGACTGGATAACGGTTTTCAAATGACACCAGAGGGGGCTTTGAAGTGAGTTTGAGAGATGCCATTTGTGGGCCCATGAGGAATGTGCGAGTAGCGGGAAGCGCCATTAGGTATATTTGCGACTTCTGCAAATAGACGTACGTTTCACTATTCTAGTAGAATAATGAGTACAAATATACTAGGTACGCGATCAAAAAAGAGTTGCTGTCGAGTCACCTTTGAAATTTGTGTTTACATAGGAATTAGGAAATCGAACTTCAACTTCCAAAGGCGACTCGACCTGCGACCGCCACTGGTCACCCATTTTTGATCACCCGTTACATGTTATGTTGTTTAAAGGGGTTACGTGTGGACCGAATGATTAATTATTATCTAATAATTTAATTTTAAACAAATAATGTAGATAAACAATTCCATTTTACATGAGTCTGTTTATAAACGTGCCGAAATTTTCAAAAAAGAATGCATTTTTTACGCGATAAGTTAGCAACCTGTAATGCCAACCGTCCACCCAAAAACATCGAGAATTTAATCACGTGCCTACATAATGCCATATATATAAATGCAGTGTTTTTATGGTGGAACAAAATGGCGGGTGAGTTTTGCAAAATTATTAACATTTTTCCAAGCAACCCGTTGCTGACATTCGTTTATTTTTGCAGATATTTCGTTGATACAAGACGACGCAATCGATGATTCAGACGAAGGTACGTGAGCAACGTTTTTATGTCAAAATTTAAAGTGTTTGCATGTGTGATTATTACTGCTCTCTTGCCATTTAGAATGGCGTGGTAAAAATTCTGTTTCTACGAGTTACTGTTATGGTCTTTCGTGCGTAATTCGAACATGTACGCAACGGCATATCGTAAGTTTAATTAATATTACTCTACGCGCCACTTATTTTCACTCGCCCTTAAATTTTGTTCATTTTAAGGTTATCATTGATTCGACGATTCTTAAGTCGCCAATTTGGAGAATACCTGCATTTTTTTAGCCTGCACTTAACCGTATTAACATATCGCAAGGTAAATGCGTAACCGAATTCCTGCAAATTGAAGCTTTCATTCATTATTAAATACCTTACAACCTTGCAGTTAGGTCAATGAACGTCATGGTATTAAGATAATTTGATCTCTGGAGGATGGTACAAAGCAATTTCTTCAATTAGCGAGGTAAAGGACAGGTGCTGAACATTTTTTTTTGTATGCATTTATGTGAACGGTTACTGCAATTATTAGTACGGGTGGGACACATTCAGAGATTTCCTTTTTGCCTACAATTTGTTGAGTGATATTCAATAAGTCGAGGTTTTCAGAATTTATGAAGCTATGACTTGTAATCCCGAACAGTGAAGGGTGCTAATCGGTTCCGATTAGGTACAAGCTTCAACTACAGTCCTAGCGAGTCCTCGACGTTAGGTTTTGCACAGTGACAACCTCTAATAATTGATAACAGCGAATAATAGAGGTGTTCCGCGCAAGGTTTCAACTGTTTCGCATAGGAAGTTAAAAAACAATGCCATTTTTGATTTTTGAAACAATCGGTGGCTCACTACTCACTAGATCAAGTGTAAAAATGTGGCTTTGCTATTTAAAGAGAAAGAAGATGTAGATGATTATGAAGTGAGGATAGAACCAATTGTTTTTCTTATGTGAACCATCATTTTTGGGATCCTCACTCAAAGTATATGGCATACAAAAAATATCAGTTGTAGGGTGTACGTATTTTTACAACCACTGAATTTGTACTTAATCAGTAGTGTGGATTGTATCGCAAGCATTGTAATCAAGAGAAATGACTTTTCCTTCCTTCCCTTCGATATCTCGAGTTGTAAATTTTTTGCAAAGAAAATTATATAAACTTACTTACAAAAATGGTTATAATTCATTTTCCATACAAAATATGGTATTAACTATAAATTCAGTGACTATGAGTTGGCCCTGATAGAGAGATAGACGTATTGGTAAATGTGTAGTGTAGTGCACTTTTAATGTCACCCTTGAACGCGCACTGTCAAATTAATTAATATTAGACATGACCCTAACATTTCCAGGGCTTTCCCTGAATCAAAATTTCGTTGATCATACCTTACATAAGTATTCTCCCTTTCGTGACCTACTCAACATTCCTTAACGAATAGGTACCTACAAACGA